TGAAAGCTTTCCCACAAATACATTAATTTTATATATATCTTTCATCTTGATTCGTCAAACTCTGCCATCAGGGTCTGTAATCTAGCTTCTCGTATTCGATCAGCACCTACATGTCTAGCTTTTATAGCATCCCAGACGGCTTTCGAACTATCAAGCTCTCCTACTTGTAAGATTAATGCTTTTGGTATAGATTGAAATAACAGAGCGATTGCCATGTTATTCTTGTCTTCGTGTTTAATTCCTTGATCTATCTTCTCCCACACTTTGTTAACTTTTAGAGAAATCTTTCTATGCATTGACCATACTGTATAATTTGCAGTTGTTAACATAGGGTTCTTGATAGAGGATGGTCCGGTCTCCTTTAATCTTGTATCAACAATATCATCCTTCGTGTCTCCCATGATAGTGTAACCTAACGATTTAAGTATATAAAACTCTGATACCAAATAAAATCTAAAGGATTTATATCACCTTAAGAAAATAACTCAAAACTCAAGAACACAATTCAATCACTTTAAACTCTTAGATTATGCAAACACACTTGCATATCTATATATAGTGATTTCTTATTCCTAACACACACACACAACATAATCTTATAGATAACTCAACAAACTTTCCTTATTTCCTAATCCATAGAAAATATATTAACTTGCACGACAAGTTATTCCAAGCTTAAACCAACAATATATATATATATATATATATACATATATATATACATATATATATATGTATATATATATTGTAACAGAGGCTTACACAATCAATCCTAAAAAAATGGGCAAAAACACTAAAACGCTAAAACTAATTTTAAACACACCAAAAACCTTAGAAATCCTAATCTCTCGTATAATGTTTGTGGAATCTTGTGAAAATGTTCAACGATGAGTAATCAGTGAGATCTCCCTTGTATTAATTGGTTTTCATTTTAAATAGATTGGAGTTTATGCCAAAAACACTTTTACAACCACTCTAAATATGGACACACAAAAATAAAGTTAAGATGGTTGATTATGATTGAAGTATGAAAACAAACAGACAAAAAAATAAAGGGGAATTAAGGGACATGACCATAGCAATAGAAAAATTAAGTACATAACCATTATTAGACATGTGCTAGGATATACCATATATTATCTACAATATATACAAAATTACCCTCACCTCATACCAACTAACACATGCGCTTCTTCTTTTTCTTTTTTTCTTTTTCTTTTCATCACCAAAACTTACAGAACCGTTAAATTTCATGAACTTTGCAAAGGATCTCGATTTGCTATAAAAGCGGATGAATGAAAGTAAAATCCGATTAGATTGAAGAGCATAGGATCACGATTTCACATGCTGTATAAGCATGAGATACAACAACTGATTGTCTGATTATTCCTTTTCATATATTTGAATGGCTTTATTTTTTGATACATGTAGATTAAGAAACAGAGAATACGCAAAACTATTGGAGAAGATAAACAATAAATGTTCGGTTGTACTATTCCATTTGATAAACATAGAATATAAATGGTTTCTTAGTGTTTTCTCTTCCTTCCCCTACCACTACCCTCCTTCAGGGGGACCCTCCTCCCCCTTTGTCGCGGTGAAGCATCACTGTCACTGTTTCTTAAATTATAAATGCATTATGATGTTAATATGTATCAAGTTGTCTATACTATTTATTTAATCGATATAGTATAGTATGTTAGTTATGCATAACATGTCCAGTGGTTGTATCAAGTATTTCATACAATTGCCCCTCCCCCACCCCTCCTTCATGGCGACCCTCCTCCTACCCTCCTCCTCCTTTGTCACAGTGAAGCATCACTATCACTGTTTCTTAAACTATAAATACATTATGATGTTTCTATGCATCAAGTTGTCTATACTATTTACTAGTAGCATATTCCCCGCGCAAGCGCGGGGCCGGGATCATTATGTTGGCGTGTATTTTTTTCGATTGTTGGTTTAGTGGATTCTTCTAATGACATCAATTAATAATGAAATGGAAAATTTCATGTTTTTATATCGTATGTCAAAACTTGATATAATTCTATATTTATAGTATTTATAATTGTATTAAACGATGTATCAATATGAAAATAACCTTAATTAAGTTAATATTCGTTGTTTAAGTTTCATTAGATAGGTTCTTATATATGGTTTTTTGTAAGTTTCGGTTTTGTTCATAAATGATGTAGCATTTTTATCTACGGAGTCATCGACTGTGGGAATTCATTCGCTGAAGTTTGGAGTCGGTGGTGAGAAATGTTTTCAATGAAATTATAGTAGTTATTAAAATGTAAGAGAAATTACATATTCATTTAATAAATAACTTACTTAAATTTTTTTGTTTATTTTATTTTATTTCACATACAATTTTTTTTTGAAAAATATTAGGAATGTGTTAAATGTTATTTATATGCGAAGTAAGGTTTATAGGAATAGTTAGGCTATAATATAGTTTTTAGTGTGTAAAAGTATGTGTGTGTTTTTTTGCTGTAAATAGTTTTTATATCGTAGATCAAAACTTGATATAATTCTATATTTATAGTATTTATATTTGTATTAAACGATTTATCAATTTGAAAATAACCTTAATTAAGTTAATATTCTTTGTTTAAGTTTCATTAGATAGGCTTTTATATATGGTTTTTTGTAAGTTTGAGTTTTGTTCATAAATGATGTGGCATTTTTATCTACGGTGTCATCGACTGTGGGAATCCATTCGCCGGAGTCTGGAATCGGTGGTGAGGAATGTTTTCAAGGAAATTATAGTAGTTATTAAAATGTAACAGAAATTATATATTCATTTAATAAATAATGAAAATAACTAATTTTTGTTGTTTTATTTTATTTTATCTCACATACAAATTTTTTGAAAATATATATTAGGAAATATGTGCAATGATTTAACTTTTTGAGCTCTTAATCTATATTATTCAACCCTTATTAAGCCATCCACGTATGCACCCGCGTGGAATTCACTTTTTGTTTTGTTTTTTTCGTTTGTTCTTTTTGGATTTATTTTTTATTTTTGGGTTGAGCTATATTATAATAGGATATTTTTAAGATTCTTTAAGCCATCCGCGTAGGCAACTACGTGAGACTTGATTTTTGTGTTTTATTATTCGTTTTGGATTCATTTTTAACTATTTTGGGTTTGAACTTGTTAAGGTTTAGGGTTTATACAACTATTTTGATCTTTAAAACAATAAGCCAAAAAAAACATAAGAACCTTATAAATAAAAAGCACATATGATAATAACCTAAATAAAAAAATCAAAAATACATGATAGCTGCGTGTTTGAACCCACAATCTTGCATACTTAATTAAACACCTTATACCACTTGGCTAAAGTGTATTTCATTGTTTGTTACCATCTTACCAAGACTATGTGTGTTTAAAAAAATTTTTTATGATGATGACATTAATTGGTTTATGCATGAGAGCAGTGGGAATTGAACTCATGTCCTTGTAGACCAAACATGGGGTCTTAGACCACTTGGCTAAACTGATATTCTTTGTCTGTAGCCATTTTAAAAAAACTATCTATTTTAATATAAAATGTGGGATCTACAATCTGCCTTTATGGACACCTTAAGGAGCCTTTAAACTGTATTATTATAATATAGATTTAATCGATATAGTATGGTATGTTAACTATGCATACCATGTCCGGTGGTTGTATCAAGTATTTCATGACGTAAATGATATGCATATACTATAGAAATTACTTAATAGTTTAGTTTACTCGCAATATTTTGGTGCTTTAGGGAAACACTTGCTAATACTATAAAATGTTAGTATTATTTTATTGTAGTTCTTGTATAGCTATTTGTGTGTGTACTAAGACCTTTGTCACGGTGAAGCATCATTGTCATTATTGCCTTCAATCCCGATTAACTTTTGCAATTAGCGGATGGATGTGATCACCTATGTTGTGTTTCTTTTATCAGTTATTACTTGCAATTTATTGGTTTTCATATGCTTTTCTAATAATTATGTGGATTTACTTTTAATGACATAGTAAATAAGTTATTGTACAGTGTCAGCTTTTCCATTCTATATCATTGTCCTTCTTTGTGAATCTCCTTTCATGTATTGATTAGTTATGTTCTTCTATTCTATTGTCATGTTTCTTGCTATGAGGAGTTAGAATATCTGTCTATATTATATCTACCAATCCAATAGTATAGTATGTAATGTGATGTGCCCTCTATCAAAATTATATCCACCAACCATGTATTGATTAATAAGTTACGCCGTGTTTTGTTGTTGGAGTTTCGATATCTTCTTTCTTATCGTTTGTGATTGTGATTGACACAGAGTTGTGAATTTGTTTTTCTATTATTAGATGTTATATAGAATATATTAGTCATGGCTGTATATGTATTATTTATTCTAAGATTCAATTTTCAAAAAATGTAGAAGACTATATAGTATAGCTTGTGATAGTATAGTCAGCTTTTTGTGTTGTGTTATATATCTCGCATCTTCACGTGTACACACATTAAAGGAGAAAATTGTCCAATTTATGTATAAAATGTCTTATCCACCAAAACTACTGTTGCGATGGTTATATTCTTCATTTTCACCTCTCTTGTGAATATCTAGCAAATTGCGGGGGTGGGTAAACAGAGAAATAACATGTGTCATCGAACATAAGCACATTTCCAGAGAACTAATGAGTAGTCATTACATTAGTCATCCCCTATTGCTGTTGGTCAAGATCAAGTAGGGTGTGACAATGGCAGACATGAGTGGAAAGTACGTAACAACTAAAACAATATGTGCT